CTGACAATATGATGCATCTGTTTTCAAAGGTAATATATACACAGTTTTGACAACCTGACCTGATAATTACTCTGACCAGCATTACCTTACCATCTGTCATGAAATAAACTCCTAAATGTAACAGCACAATATATTTCTCAATAGCAGTTAAGAACACTGCTTTGTTCACGTGGCCATAGTTAATCTGTCATAGCCTGTGAGCACTGCAACACAGCCTTCCACTTGTGGGTGTTCCTTAACTTCTTTTGAGTAGCATGCAGTGAGAACAAGCCCAAATTAACCTGCCATCAGAGTTCAACCCAGGGGTCCGGGAAATTTAAAATCCCAATCGGACATTTACATTTATGCCACGCCCCCTTCAAACAGCGTGTTTTAGTACGACTTTTTACACACAAATTACAAGTTGTTACGTATTCATAATATGATGAATTATGAATTGTTTCAATTTAAATTGTTTAATTCACCGGACAATTAATAACAAATAATTTTTCATTTTAGATATATATGGAAAACATACGTTTGTTTCTGTTATAATAACGATCTGTCAACGTTGTGAACGGTCTAATTAATATTCATGAGTCTGCTCAAGTGTACGCGTTGTAACATTTGGATCGAGACTATTATCCCATATTTGGTTATCATGTGACCTCACGGGAAAAGTGTTTTTTTTAAACTAAAGATTATTTAAAAACAAGACAGATAATATAATCATAAATCCTAAACTATCGTTGATAGCAATAGTTATTTGAATACTTTTTCATCTGTACTTAATTATTGACCATAAAAAAAATTGATATCGATCATCAGCAAAATGGCGGTCAATCAAGATTCAATATACGACTAGCTACTGAAAACAATAAAATCTGCAAATCCTCATAGTATGTCAACCAAGTGAAAGTCGTTAGCCACGACTTACAAAATGATCATTCAGACTTTGAGGGTTTGGCAGATCCGCTCGACTGATCTGCATCGGTCGACTGGCTGTCGTAATGCTTTCGCTTCTTGTCTGAGGTTACGTATCGTAGCATTGTGAGGATAATGAGGTACATCGATGATGCAAGGTATTTATGTACAGTTGTAAACACATTTTACTCAAATTAACAAGATGTTCTCAGTAATTAATCCTCGATTAATCAGTGTCAACTCAGTTTATTGCCTATTACAGTGATTGACCGATTGGACTATCATTGTAGGTACGATGTATTTACAGCAATTAAAACAAACAAAGTTGTCAGTGTAGATAATCTTCATTGTGTTACAACCGCAGAAAGAAACTGCTCAGTCCTAACTGTTGATCATGTCCGGTCAAAATTTAAGAATGTCCGGACAATACTTTTTAAAATGTCCGTACAGAAAAATTTAAATGTCCGGTAAGCAATATTTTAAACCGGACATTTGAGATTCCCAATCGGACATGTCCGGCGCATATGACGGTTTCCGGACCCCTGGTTCAACCTAAGCTGGTTGACCTCTTGCTAGCCAGGAAAATTTTGCATAATTGTGCACATTAAGTATCATGATATGTATTAAAGGGAAACCCAACCATTCTGGTATGTATCTGTGAGCCAGGCAAATGAAGAAAGCCCTAATATCTGATATGTATCTGTGAGCTAGGCAAATGAAGAAAGCCCTAATATCTGATATGTATCTGTGAGCCAGGCAAATGAAGAAAGCCCTCATATCTGATATGTATCTGTGAGCTAGGCAAATGAAGAAAGCCCTCATATCTGATATGTATCTGTGAGCCAGGCAAATGAAGAAAGCCCTCATATCTGATATGTATCTGTGAGCCAGGCAAATGAAGAAAGCCCTAATATCTGATATGTATCTGTGAGCCAGGCAAATGAAGAAAGCCCTAATATCTGATATGTATCTGTGAGCCAGGCAAATGAAGAAAGCCCTAATATCTGATATGTATCTGTGAGCTAGGCAAATGAAGAAAGCCTTCATATCTGATATGTATCTGTGAGCCAGGCAAATGAAGAAAGCCCTCATATCTGGTATGTATCTGTGAGCCAGGCAAATGAAGAAAGCCCTAATATCTGATATGTATCTGTGAGCCAGGCAAATGAAGAAAGCCCTAATATCTGGTATGTATCTGTGAGCCAGGCAAATGAAGAAAGCCCTCATATCTGATATGTATCTGTGAGCCAGGCAAATGAAGAAAGCCCTAATATCTGATATGTATCTGTGAGCCAGGCAAATGAAGAAAGCCCTCATATCTGATATGTATCTGTGAGCTAGGCAAATGAAGAAAGCCCTCATATCTGATATGTATCTGTGAGCCAGGCAAATGAAGAAAGCCCTCATATCTGATATGTATCTGTGAGCTAGGCAAATGAAGAAAGCCCTCATATCTGATATGTATCTGTGAGCTAGGCAAATGAAGAAAGCCCTCATATCTGATATGTATCTGTGAGCCAGGCAAATGAAGAAAGCCCTCATATCTGATATGTATCTGTGAGCTAGGCAAATGAAGAAAGCCCTCATATCTGATATGTATCTGTGAGCTAGGCAAATGAAGAAAGCCCTCATATCTGATATGTATCTGTGAGCCAGGCAAATGAAGAAAGCCCTCATATCTGATATGTATCTGTGAGCTAGGCAAATGAAGAAAGCCCTAATATCTGATATGTATCTGTGAGCTAGGCAAATGAAGAAAGCCCTAATATCTGATATGTATCTGTGAGCCAGGCAAATGAAGAAAGCCCTCATATCTGATATGTATCTGTGAGCTAGGCAAATGAAGAAAGCCCTAATATCTGATATGTATCTGTGAGCCAGGCAAATGAAAAAAGCCCTCATATCTGATATGTATCTGTGAGCCAGGCAAATGAAGAAAGCCCTCATATCTGATATGTATCTGTGAGCTAGGCAAATGAAGAAAGCCCTCATATCTGATATGTATCTGTGAGCTAGGCAAATGAAGAAAGCCCTCATATCTGATATGTATCTGTGAGCCAGGCAAATGAAGAAAGCCCTCATATCTGATATGTATCTGTGAGCTAGGCAAATGAAGAAAGCCCTCATATCTGATATGTATCTGTGAGCTAGGCAAATGAAGAAAGCCCTCATATCTGATATGTATCTGTGAGCCAGGCAAATGAAGAAAGCCCTCATATCTGATATGTATCTGTGAGCTAGGCAAATGAAGAAAGCCCTAATATCTGATATGTATCTGTGAGCTAGGCAAATGAAGAAAGCCCTAATATCTGATATGTATCTGTGAGCCAGGCAAATGAAGAAAGCCCTAATATCTGATATGTATCTGTGAGCTAGGCAAATGAAGAAAGCCCTCATATCTGATATGTATCTGTGAGCCAGGCAAATGAAGAAAGCCCTCATATCTGGTATGTATCTGTGAGCCAGGCAAATGAAGAAAGCCCTAATATCTGATATGTATCTGTGAGCCAGGCAAATGAAGAAAGCCCTCATATCTGGTATGTATCTGTGAGCCAGGCAAATGAAGAAAGCCCTCATATCTGGTATGTATCTGTGAGCCAGGCAAATGAAGAAAGCCCTCATATCTGGTATGTATCTGTGAGCCAGGCAAATGAAGAAAGCCCTCATATCTGATATGTATCTGTGAGCTAGGCAAATGAAGAAAGCCCTCATATCTGATATGTATCTGTGAGCCAGGCAAATGAAGAAAGCCCTCATATCTGGTATGTATCTGTGAGCCAGGCAAATGAAGAAAGCCCTCATATCTGGTATGTATCTGTGAGCCAGGCAAATGAAGAAAGCCCTCATATCTGGTATGTATCTGTGAGCCAGGCAAATGAAGAAAGCCCTCATATCTGATATGTATCTGTGAGCTAGGCAAATGAAGAAAGCCCTAATATCTGATATGTATCTGTGAGCCAGGCAAATGAAGAAAGCCCTCATATCTGGTATGTATCTGTGAGCCAGGCAAATGAAGAAAGCCCTAATATCTGATATGTATCTGTGAGCCAGGCAAATGAAGAAAGCCCTAATATCTGATATGTATCTGTGAGCTAGGCAAATGAAGAAAGCCCTAATATCTGATATGTATCTGTGAGCCAGGCAAATGAAGAAAGCCCTCATATCTGATATGTATCTGTGAGCTAGGCAAATGAAGAAAGCCCTAATATCTGATATGTATCTGTGAGCCAGGCAAATGAAGAAAGCCCTAATATCTGATATGTATCTGTGAGCTAGGCAAATGAAGAAAGCCCTAATATCTGATATGTATCTGTGAGCTAGGCAAATGAAGAAAGCCCTAATATCTGGTATGTATCTGTGAGCTAGGCAAATGAAGAAAGCCCTAATATCTGATATGTAACTGTGAGCTAGGCAAATGAAGAAAGCCCTAATATCTGATATGTATCTGTGAGCCAGGCAAATGAAGAAAGCCCTCATATCTGATATGTATCTGTGAGCCAGGCAAATGAAGAAAGCCCTCATATCTGATATGTATCTGTGAGCCAGGCAAATGAAGAAAGCCCTCATATCTGATATGTATCTGTGAGCCAGGCAAATGAAGAAAGCCCTAATATCTGATATGTATCTGTGAGCTAGGCAAATGAAGAAAGCCCTAATATCTGATATGTATCTGTGAGCTAGGCAAATGAAGAAAGCCCTAATATCTGGTATGTATCTGTGAGCTAGGCAAATGAAGAAAGCCCTAATATCTGATATGTATCTGTGAGCCAGGCAAATGAAGAAAGCCCTAATATCTGATATGTATCTGTGAGCTAGGCAAATGAAGAAAGCCCTAATATCTGATATGTATCTGTGAGCTAGGCAAATGAAGAAAGCCCTCATATCTGATATGTATCTGTGAGCTAGGCAAATGAAGAAAGCCCTAATATCTGATATGTATCTGTGAGCTAGGCAAATGAAGAAAGCCCTCATATCTGATATGTATCTGTGAGCCAGGCAAATGAAGAAAGCCCTAATATCTGGTATGTATACAGATCAAGGGTGTTAAGGGGGGTGGGGGCTAGATCCCTGTCAGGCTGCATGGAATAACTGCCTACCTGTTGTATGGGGCTCTGGGCCTGGAACAAGATGCGTCTAGAGAGAAGTTCTGCGAATATACAGCCGACCGACCATATATCCACGGCGGATGAGTAATGTTTGGCCCCCATAAGGATCTCCGGAGGTCGGTAGTACTGCGTCACCACTTCCTGGGTCATATGTACAGATTCCTCAGGCTCTTCGATGCGTGCAAGACCAAAGTCACAGATCTGTGGAGGAACAAACATTGCAGGTTAGGCCATAATAAAATTAGTAGACTCTACTAAACGCCTCATTTTACTTTCCTCCAAGTACACACAGGTGGATGAAATTGATAAGATCTGTCAACACTTGATAGATTCAGTTGCCTAGGACAGTTTGTATAACAAAATAAATCCTGATAAATGTTCCAGTATCTCAGTTTCATATATGGGAATGAAAACCTTTGAAGAAATTTATTGTTGCCTAAACATATTCATGAATGGTTATTGCCTAAGAAACTCATCTGACATGATTGGTACAGCATAGTTGGCATCACGCCAGTCACATGTCACAGAGGCCTGTAGTTGACCAAGTGTCATCAAACCAGTGGTCGATAGCATGAGCAAGAAACCACTCAGTCAGGGTAAAAGGACACACAGTCAGTGAGGACACACATTGTTCCACCCAGCCCTACTTTAGCCGTCCAAGACAGTGCAATCAGACCAGGAATTACAACGAGGGCAAATGTCACTGTACTGATTGGAAAAAGTACCAACATTCTAAGAATCTGGCATGATTAAAGTACACTAACAAGGGAACTAACATAACTACCACATTTGCCATAATAAGCATAATAAGTACTTGTGAGAAGTAGGAGTTGTAGTTCTGCTCACCTTTAAACAACAATTACTATTTACAAGGAGGTTGCCGGGCTTGATGTCCCTGTGTAGAACCCGGGCGGAGTGGAGGTACTTGAGGCCTGCAACAGACAGACAGACAGACACAGTGAGTTGCAGTGGTTCACATCTGACCAGCAGATCTACTGATCCCTACTACTGACCACAACAATGTTACACATGACAGTAACTACACAAGGAAACAGTATGCACTTTGCGACATCCAGCACTCGTCCGCAGCCCCAGTCTTGGTCAATTTTGTTTGGTTTAACATGATCAGCTTATAAACGGTCCACATGTCAACACCCATGAGTGAAATCAACAGCAACCTTTCCCCCAAAACAACAAACAAACATTAGACGTCCAGACTATCATTTGATGGTTCCACTGGCCCTTTAAATCATTTACTAGACTGAAGCCAACAGACCAGCACTTGTGTAAAACAATGCATATTGCGCAGGGCCTTTATAAACAATTTGCCAGCTATTCCTGCACTGAAAGAAGATGACAGTTACACATACACTGTAAAATGAGCATATTCAGTTCCTTTCACGAGGCACTAATAGAATCAATACACCAATCACAGATGAACTTCACGTTAATAACTCTTATCATGTTAACACTTATCAACCAAAGTAAGTCATTTCTGAAGCATGATTAAGTAAATGTCACAACGCTTCCATGGAAATTTGCCTATTTAAAATCTCAGTGTGCCCAACGTGGCTAATTCCACACAGAGTTACTTCCCTTTAGCCAGTGTACGCCTACTCCCACTAGTGATGCGGCAACTACCGTACAGCACTCACAACCACTGTGAACTACTGGGAGTGAAAGACCTACATTGGGGAAAGCAAGACTCACCTCTGAGTATTTGGTAGAGAAAGACTTTGACGTGGTCGGCAGTGAGCGGCTGGGGTGACACGATGATCTTGTGTAGATCACTCTGCAGCAGCTCTGTTACCACATAGCTAGCAATGGTTAAGGAAACAACGTTCCTAGGACAAGGTGATGTTTATCATATTTATAAATCGGTGAATCAAAGATATTCTGTGGAATATCCTGACAAGCTCATTGAATGGTACAATGTATGGAAACACAATGCTTAACTTTTGCAGAATAATCAATTGATGAACAACAGATAGTAGCTAATCAGGAATACTGGAGAATTAACGGTGGACAAACATTCTGAAACTTTAGCCACTTGTCCAAAGCCCAGGTCTAGTAAAATGTATTCCTGTCCAGGAGGATTAACTGACAAAAGGTAATATTTTTAGCCTACAATCTGAAACAGATTCTGCAGAACATATTCAGGCCAGTTCAACTCACAGTGATACTTTTCAGAACAGACTGAACTGTTCTCATTGTGTCCATAATCTGAACTCTCTAAGTACTAACTTCAGATCAGAATTAAAGATTTATAAAGTAAATTATAAAGACCAAACCAAACAAAAGATTTCTTTAGATGATGTCTAAACTTTCTTAACCATGATAACCATTGTTGAATAAAACTACAAAATAGTTGAGTCATTTCATCTTTATACTTGAAAATAAAAAGAACTGTTCAAAGAATAAAGATAAAATAACATTAACATGGTTGCATGACTAAACATTAACATGGTTGCATGATAAAATGGAACCAATTTTGTAATGTCAGATGGCCATCAAAAACATAATTAAACAGTATCAGATGCCATTACTTTTTTTTATTAAATCACTGTAAATAACCATCAAAAACCTTTTTAAAAATTAATATTTTTTGAACAAGATATGTGCACTGTAAACAAATCACCTTTCACAAATCCCATAATTATGTTGGTTTTGAATGAATCATAAAAAGACCCGTTACACCAATCAGTGTGTCGATATTCTTGTCGCCAGGCAACACTCAAACAAAACCATGATTGCAAGTCCTTGCACGTTTCTCAGTGTACATAACGAAGTTGACCTCAAATGTCTACCCAGAATGACTATTGTTATCCACAAATATATTTCTCAAAAGAAGTCAATAAAAAGCAAATGGATTGTTGTCAGGAAGATATTACTTTACTTCCCTGATCTGTGGTAAAGCATGAAGGGAAATGCTATTGGCCGACAACTTACAATGGTTACACACTATTGACCTGAGAAGGTCTTTGTACTGCAATGGACTTGACTTCCTTTGTTAACACAGTCTGGTCATGGGATACAGCTCATAGTTCACTCCACCTTCTCAGTAAGGAAACAAAAACATGACTAGCAGCCATGAAAGGTTTCAAAAGCTGGACAAATCCAACTTAACATTTTCCTCCAAGAAAAACTACCTTCCATGTTCTAAACATTTATGAACATACTTAAAATGGTTTGAAATAAAATAAGCTTTATAAAATTATTTTGCGTAAAACACTAACTTAAATGAAAGCCATTTAGAAGCTACAATGTTTTGTAGTTCAGGTATTTTTATTTCAATGTTTTTAAATCAACTCATCTTGTGAGAAATATCTAAATGTGCTGTTTTTTGTATGTTTTTCTATTGTTGTTAATTCATTCCAAAAGCCTCAGTGATGTACAATATTTACACTATCAATGTATTGTTGAAAGAGTAATGTTACTCAGCACAACATCTCTCAGGTGTTAGATGCAAAGCAACCAACTTCTCAAACAGTAATCTTATTTTGAAATATCTTTAGGATCGTATCAGTAGTTTACATTAGGACTAGTGGACATCCGAAATAATTGATTTGAAGATACAAATGAGAATATTTATAAGAAAAACACTTTGTAGTGTCTACGAACAAAAATATTACACTGCCTTTTTCAGTGTTTACCAAGTGTAGAGAGTATCTGCACAGAGCTGAACCTCTCATTGTTAATATTTGCCTAAACAGTCCCTCACCAACACATGATGTCACTGATATTTATAGCCTTCTCCAGGACAAAACATCCCAGGAGCCGACAACGGCCTCACGCTTAGACTTGCTCGGTCTCACAATCTCATATCATATGGAATCCACGTACCGTTCCCAAAATACTTTTTAAAAATAATAATAAATGTATAATAATGTATAATAACATATATAACATGTAATAACATTTAAAAACAATCAAACATCCACATGGTTAAAGAAAATGGTTTCAATGAAATAATATATAGTCACAGAGTTAATTAAATTTGGAGAGAAGCCTGGCTCCAGTCTCCTTCCTTCCAGCTGATAGAAGTGAACTGCTAGCTATGTCAACAAAGACCCTGGTTGACTGGTCTAACAAAGCCAAGCCATTCCTACATGTCTTTCTCATTGTGTTAGGTTGCTTGTATCAGGGCACATCCAGAAAAAAATGTGTTGTCTTAATTAAACATACAACTTTCTTTTTTCAACTTATATTGTAGCTCTTGATAGAATAAGTACATGTTTCTCTACATCTTGAAGATAATTCATTAAAATTTCTTATTTTATCAAATCTGTTGAGATCTAAGAAACAGTAAGAAAATAGTCTTAAAAATAAAACTATCTGATTACATAACTTTTTAGCTTTTCATGAAGCAAATAAACATATATTTTCATGTACTTTGAAGACAATGTTCTTTTAAAATTATTGACCAAAATATTATCCGATCTGTTGTAATTTATGAAACAGTAAGAAAATGTCTACATGTAATCTGTGATGAAAATGATATACACACACATATATATATATGCCTGCGTGCACAGTTGAATATATGTCAGTTGAATTCATGATTACATAAAAAACTAGACTATTCAGCTACGAGTATATACAGCATGCCACATTCCAGTCACAGCTGTTCCTATCTGCACGACCAGTAAATCTAGTAACTCTAGTAATAACACTAATACCCCCAGTCACACACCTAGGGCTAGAATTGAAATTCAATTGTCTCCCTGATTCTGCCATATGGCACAATCCCTACTGTGAAGGGGACCAACCCATTGTTGTAAATGGGTGTGAATAGAAGTCACAGCTGTTTCAGAAACAAAGACCCAGATTCAAAAGTGACTGCTTTGACATTTGTATGATGAAGACAGGGCTTGTGAAAGTGGGTCACAATATTCTTTCCACAAACAGCTTTTCAGTCACAATAATGTGGTGCGGCAGAAAGAAATAGGTACCTACCGGTACATAGAAGATATGTATGATGCAGGTGGAATAACCAGCTACATTTATAGCAGAATAATTGTAGCAAGGCTTTATTTGTTTGAACTCTGGAAATATACCAAGTTAAAACTAAACTTTAAGTAGACAGGAGCATTATAACAAAGTTCTTACTTTTTCAAAACATCTCCCATGTAATGATCTAAAACTAGCGTAATAGTCATATGGATATGTTAGAACGGAACTACAATTATTAATAACAGATTCTTTTTCTTCGAAACAGAGTGGTGGGGGAGGGAATCACATAAATGATCACAGCAAATTCACAGTACCCAGTTGTATATAACTGAAAATGCATCCAAAGCAGGTTTTGAAATAAATCTTAAAAACAAATCAAGATGATATTTTCCTACAACTTGGAAATTAGATCACCTGCAAAAATACTCCTGAAATCTTTCCGTGGGTGCCAAGTTGCCTATCAAGATCTGAGGTGGAAGATCTGGCTGGTATGGTCTATTTTTGCTAACAAAGTGGCCTGAATCTTCAACTAACGACCAACATTTTCTTTGACTAAATAGGTGAGAAAAAAACATGCTAATAAGATCCAATTGGGTCAGCACTTGACCCACAAATCATAGACATGGCAAACAGCCAAGCTATTGATGGTGAGTTACCACTGCAACCATTTTTATAACACTGTCTCTGATTGGACAGCTGTGAAGCAACAAAAGTTCTGATTGGTCATTGTGACAGTTATAGGTCACTGGCATCTACTGGTTATTTTGGTCAGTCAATATTGACCACAGGTTTACAGACTTGAGTCCTATTCATCTCAAACGGCTGTGGAACAAATTAATTCTGTATTTAGAAGAGAAGGACTTCCTTTGTCACAATCTCACACCTACAATGTAGACAAAGGTATTTCGAGATCCACTGTTCATTCTCTCGTAAACAGTCTATAGGTTTTGTATAATCCAATAGAGAAAGAGTATACACTGGTCACCTTTGTTGATTTAATTAGTTCAAAAGGTCAGCTTTCTCTGGATACCTGTGCTATTCATACAAATTCTCTTCTAACAAACCGACAACAATTTGCCTCGCCAACCGAGTTAGACACAGCCAGTGGTTCGATCGTCCTCAGAGCATCTGGAAGCACAAGTCTGTTCTCCCCAAGTCTGTTTAATGTGTCACATAAACCACCAGTCAAAATAAGTAGATACACTACCCTAGATTGAGTCATGGCATAAAATAACTTGTGTTCAAAGAAATTGTATTCAATAGTACTCAAATAGTTCCCAGACATTTGAGCCTTCAAATACAGCAGTAACACAGTTCTACCTCATAGTAATTTCCTACCTTAAGTCTATATTCTGTGACACTATTGGAAGTAAATGACTTGCTTTAACTGATCCTGTGAGTTGGTGCATGAGTGAGTGTGTGGATGCTGTGAATGAGTGCGTGAGTGTGTGGGTGCTGTGAGTGTGTGGGTGCTGTGAGTGAGTGTGTGAGTGTGTGGGTGCTGTGAGTGAGTGCGTGAGTGTGTGGGTGCTGTGAGTGTGTGGGTGCTGTGAGTGAGTGCGTGAGTGTGTGGGTGCTGTGAGTGTGTGGGTGCTGTGAGTGTGTGGGTGCTGTGAGTGAGTGTGTGAGTGTGTGGGTGCTGTGAGTGAGTGCGTGAGTGTGTGGGTGCTGTGAGTGAGTGTGTGAGTGTGTGGGTGCTGTGAGTGTGTGGGTGCTGTGAGTGTGTGGGTGCTGTGAGTGAGTGCGTGAGTGTGTGGGTGCTGTGAGTGAGTGCGTGAGTGTGTGGGTGCTGTGAGTGAGTGTGTGGGTGCTGTGAGTGTGTGGGTGCTGTGAGTGTGTGGGTGCTGTGAGTGAGTGCTGTGAGTGTGTGGGTGCTGTGAGTGTGTGGGTGCTGTGAGTGAGTGCGTGAGTGTGTGTGTCGGTGCTGTGAGTGTGTGGGTGCTGTGAGTGAGTGCGTGCTGTGAGTGAGTGCGTGAGTGTGTGGGTGCTGTGAGTGTGTGGGTGCTGTGAGTGAGTGCGTGAGTGTGTGGGTGCTGTGAATGAGTGCGTGAGTGTGTGGGTGCTGTGAGTGTGTGGGTGCTGTGAATGAGTGCGTGAGTGTGTGTGTCGGTGCTGTGAGTGTGTGGGTGCTGTGAGTGAGTGCGTGAGTGTGTGGGTGCTGTGAGTGAGTGCGTGAGTGTGTGGGTGCTGTGAATGAGTGCGTGAGTGTGTGGGTGCTGTGAGTGTGTGGGTGCTGTGAGTGAGTGCGTGAGTGTGTGGGTGCTGTGAATGAGTGCGTGAGTGTGTGGGTGCTGTGAGTGTGTGGGTGCTGTGAGTGAGTGCGTGAGTGTGTGGGTGCTGTGAGTGTGTGGGTGCTGTGAATGAGTGCGTGAGTGTGTGGGTGCTGTGAATGAGTGCGTGAGTGTGTGTGTCGGTGCTGTGAGTGTGTGAGTAAAACGGGTATGTCTGGGGGTGTCAGATTAATGAGAAAATAAGTGACAAAAACAACCTTTTACTGAAAACTAAACCGGTATAGTTTCAAGAGTGCATACACAACCTCTCAGACGACTAAGCCAATGCATTATCAGTCAATGTCAGTCTCAGTTTGAACATTAATACAAAAATTAAGTATAAACACAAGAAAAACCCATCCCAAATATTTGTATAATTATTTTTTTCTTCCTCTACTCATCTATCCATAAATCTATTTCACACAACGTACCCAAGTAAACTTTTCAATATCAACCAATCAAAACTCATCAAGACATCAGGAACATGGCAAGGTGCATTGTGTACTTGAATATGAACCAATCAGAACTGGGACAACTCAACTCCCTCTCACCCTGTGGAATATGGCAAGGTGCATTGTGTACTTAAATATGAACCAATCAGAACTGGGACAACTCAACTCCCTCTCACCCTGTGGAATATGGCAAGGTGCATTGTGTACTTGAATATGAACCAATCAGAACTGGAACAACTCAACTCCCTCTCACCCTGTGGAATATGGCAAGGTGCATTGTGTACCTGTCTCATCACAACTGGGGATAATCCATTCAGGTAATTAATTCAGGTGTAGCATACAAGGTGTAGCATACACGCATCCTGGCCTGCCTACGACAAGCTGTCAATCAGTCAGCGCTGGCAGTGACCTCTGGTGACAGGTCAATCAAACAGTGAGGAGACAGATACAAATATGGGCAGTTTGTTGTGCACACATGAACCGATCGTCCCAAGGTTGTTCAAATCAAACCAGGAAGCCTAGTGCACCTACACGTCTTGAAAGAACGTCCAAAATTACAGAAAATATCGTAGATTGCATAAGGTGACAAAAACTGTTTGCAAAAAACGCCTGTGTGGGAATTTCACACCTTGTCCCTCCTCTTCATTATATAGAATCTGTGGCGAGAACGTCCACACAAACTGACCACGGTGTACTGAGTGGGCCAAGACAGGGAAAACGTAGCTGAATAAGCTATTACAGTCAGGAATGTATCTGGGCCAACACAGAGGCCCCTATTCACCACTACAAGACAGGGAAAACGTAGCTGAATAAGCTATTACAGTCAGGAATGTATCTGGGCCCACACAGAGGCCCCTATTCACCACTACAAGACAGGGAAAACGTAGCTGAATAAGCTATTACAGTCAGGAATGTATCTGGGCCCACACAGAGGCCCCTATTCACCACTACAAGACAGGGAAAACGTAGCTGAATAAGCTATTACAGTCAGGAATTTATCTGGGCCCACACAGAGGCCCCTATTCACCACTACAAGACAGGGAAAATGTAGCTGAATAAGCTATTACAGTCAGGAATGTATCTGGGCCCACATAGAGGCTCATATTCACCACAACATCTGCAACAAATGTCACTAGAAAGTCCAAAATTGGAATGAAAAATTCCTAGTTCTATACAGCTATAACTAATGTCAATGGGAAGAGTCTTGAAAGCTACGTCTAACACTACTGCATAACATGCAATATGAAAAAAACAATGTTAACACACTCCTGAATTAAAGAACAAAACACTTAAAAAAAGCGTTGAATAAAATATTTTACTTTCCGTGTCCACTTAGTTTGAAATACTAGAAATAGCCCTGACAATGTACAGTTGAAAACCTAATGGTATACCGTTATAGACATTCTATTTTAACAATATTGACGCCTAGTTTCTAAGTAACAGCTGAACTCAGTAATCTAAAAATAATACACAACTGTGGTTCATTCTTATTGTAACAATCATCTAACATTTCAATTCAACTATTCTCTTCTGTAGCGCTTCTAATCCATATCTAGTTTCATTAACTTAGGAATTACAAATCTAAACAAAAAAAACATACTCACCATGCATACTTATGTTCAAGTAATAGAGAGATTTGATTGGTCAGTTTTACCCACTCCTAGAATGGTTATATATAAGTACAACAGCAATTCAAGAACCTGCCAATATGGTAACTCTCTACCTGATATATTTTCCGTCGGAGAGATTGATTTTTTTCTGCTACAAAAGTGGTATAGACAGGCTGAGTACCAATGACGCGGGTCCTACTAAAAATACATCCAGGTACGGTTGCAATAAACGTCATTCCTTACTGTTATAGGAAGTGCTTTGGATAGATCTCCTTATATTCAGTTATTAAAGCAACATGGAACAAGTTCACACATGATTTCATCTATAATATTCCACGCACAAGTATTGGGGAGAAGGAAGAGCTGATGAGAGGGGCAGGATTGGACTTAAGCTGGTATTACTGTTACAATTTTAGGTCTTGGCATGTTTTTTCCAAAAAAAAGCAAATTAATATCTTGGGTGTTTCCACATTTCAATTACATTACAGACGAGGGGTGATATGTAGTTCTTGGGCTTCACATTACTCTAAAAATCCTTGTTTACATCTGACATCTGTTAAAACTCCAGCTATACCCCTGAAGCTGCATGACGTTTATCATGGACAGATTCAAACAGAATACCTGCTTCACACACTTGAATCACTGGTGAGATCATATTCAGCAACTTCATTTCCAGCTAATAAGTCATAGTAAATGTTTCACTGACTTCTCAGCAGGGCCTACTCATTGAGGATAGTGATAACCAGCCACAACCATACAGCCTTCAACCTACCCACACAGAAACAGACAACCATCGACCTACCCACACAACAGATAACTGTCGACCTTCCCACACAGAAACAGACAACCATTGACCTTCCCACACAACAGATACCTGTCGACCTACCCACACAACAGATAATTGTCGACCTTCCCACACAACAGATAGCTGTCGACTACCCACACAGAAACAGACAACCTTCAACCTACCCACACAGAAACAGACAACTGTCAACCTACCCACACTACAACAGACAAGAGTCAACCTGCCCACACAACAACAGACAACCATTGACCTATCCACACTACAACAGACAACTCATTGACCTACCAACACATATAAAACAGACAACCGTCGACCTCCCACTTGAACAGAACTGAAGGAAAAGACATAGTTTTCACTAGTTGCTTTACAAGACCACCAAAATATGAAATCACTTTTGCTTTTTCTTTCACAGCTAGGTATTACACTAAGAATATGTAAGTAATATTATTCCCAGCTGTCGGAGGAGCAATCACATCTGATGACTCCTCAAACTCCTTGTGAGTCTGCAAATGATGATATCGGAACAACACACCCTTTGATGTTCTCCTTGACTTTCCCTGCAAATATGTCTGGGTGTAAACAAAGACAACATCTGCTGAAATTTGTGTTGAACCATAAACTAACAATATACTCAATATAATGCAGAATGAAAAAATAATACTTTTAAGGCATCTACATTTTGGGGGCCAAAGATTTGTAAACCAATTATATAAGAATGAATGGCCTAAATGTCCAACACCTCAGTTGCTATTTGAAGCTGAAGTTTACAGCATATGATATTCCCAACAGAACGCACATGCGCCTCCACCCTGACATATACATGTGCACCACCAACACAGCAGGCTGACATTCAACCGACCTCCAAACCTATTCCTGCTCTAAATGTTTAGACTGGGTAGGGCAGGTGAAAATACAGGTAGCATACAGTCAGTCACAAATATTCACAGGACCTGACAAATAAGCACTATTCTGTTACAAAATAGATCACATGTTTGGGCTTATTTGTAGCAGTAACATGTTACATTTCTTATTTTGGGTTGACTGGTAACAAATGCTTGTACATTGACATTGCTAAATGTTTCCTCCAGAAACAAGAGAAATATTATACTCAAAAGTAAGCTTAAAATGCACATTTACAATAACAAATGTTGCATGATATGCCAGTAATGTGAGAAACATAAATAGTTCATGTCAATTCAAATCCAACATATCTACCATATTTCATGGAAAATATTCCTGAAAAATAATGTATGTCCCGAACATGTCAGAGGTAATCATCACCATACAAAGGATACATTTCTTGGAAGAAGTCTATGTGGGGTGGCTGAAGTATATCTAATGATGATAAGACCTGCAACAAAAATAGTCCATGTTACTGGCAATACAGTCAAGTCTCATTACATTCATAACAAACATCTTAACGTTCATCTTGTGGGGGGTTCTCAGTTGGAGTAGTCCCCAGTAACCTAAGGTTGTATTACAGTATGGGGGTTGTTCCTAACATCAATCACTGGTTTGTCTGCACCAGATTTGATTAATTCAGGCTGCAATCATATAGACGGAATCATAGAACATTGGAGGGAGAGGGGATATATACAGAAAACATAAATTTAGGGGTCATGAATATTTATGGAGGATATTTTTTGTAGCGAAGACTGAGCACACAATTTCATAAAAATATCCTCCAAAGTATTCATGATCCCCAACTTTTTTTTGGCTCAGTAAGCATTTCATGTTTTGGGTCTAACAGCTTTGATTACCAAACTTAATATCCATAACATCCTTGGTTATTATAGGGAAATCACTGGTTAGTTCCAGTCTCAATCCCAACACTGCATCAGACAATCTACAGATACAGTCTTCTAAGAAGAGTTTTGACCATATTCATGAGAAATGAAAGAAAGTGTTTAGTAGTGTGATGAATACATTTATCAGCAATGAAATAACATTTGTTCCTTTGGATCCCACGAGTTTTAAGGTGAAAGGGCATTCTACTGTAGATAATTTACTTCTTCTGGGACTATATCTATGGGCTAATCTTCCGGCCAGGTGGAATCCTGCTCTGTGTTGAAACATAAGCCTCAAAGTAAACAGTCACTTCCACTGCTAAGGCGTGGAGGCATTCTTCCCCTACAGTTGCCAGAGAGGGGGTAGAGATTTTATCACTTGACCTGGGGCCTACTCCCACAACTGTCGCAGTTTAAACAAAATAGACATGCTGACTAAGCACTTATTGTACAGGGACACATTTCAGAACATTGTTCCTGATTTCATAAACGTGTCAACTGGTTAAACAACAGAAAACTATTTTCATTCCCGATCTGAGCTCAATATTAGTTTTCCTTCAATGGAGCTATTTTTAGCATAACTCGACCTCTGTAATTCTATGTTCATAATTTTAGAATATCTTACTCTGATTTGTCTAGCTGAAATTATAATGAAAAACTATGTTAATTAATTTTGATATTTTACAAAAATTGGAATTGTTCATGTCAATAAAAAAATAGTTTACAAAGATAAACAGTTTAGGCAATTGAAAACATTGATCTTATCCACTACTCTTACAGGTACACATGTTTTGAGATAACCCTAGACATTTTTTAGAGCTTTATCCTTGCTTTAACATGTTTTCCTTAAACAATGTTGGCCAGCAGGAAAATACTGAAATCATCCAAATATAGGTTATTGAGGGATGCTGACAGGATATCTCACTTTACCACAAATACATATTCTGAAACTGGAATTTATTTAAATTTACTTTACATTACAGCTGCTTGTCTGCACATACACTGTAGTGCTTGTTCCCAATGGCAACCCATTATACTGACCAGATGACCACAAGTGTGACACATGGCTTATGTCCATAGAAGACAGGCCCATTGTACAAACATTTCCTCTACCAAAGGCCAATACATTGTCATGTGGTCTGTCCCTGGAGTCCCTGTCCACTGCCCTGGGGGGACTACATAGAAGGGGAGGTCACCAGGTTCCACCAAAAAATTGCATAAACACAGGTTTTTACACCCATTAAAGTGGTTCATACAGACAAATGTCAAGGACAATATTATGATCTGTCATAGTTGTCAGCATTTGGGTTATTCCAATTTCAAATCAAATGCCACTTGTGTGCAAGTGGTTTGTCTTATTCCAACCATATCACAGCATATGGAGTGCCAGTATTGGGAAATATCAAACCAAGATCTTTGCCATGACAAAGCAACACTTTAACCTCATGCCTACCACCCCCTAAAAAAACACTTGAAACCAATTTATTGTAAAGCCAGCTACTTGGAACTTATTTTGTTGCCTTAATTCACTCATCTTTTATTGGTAAACCTTTACTTGAAATTTGGGCACTTTTAAAGGAAATCCAATTGATTCCACGCCCTTTGTCCAGAACCCCCCACACTACCCACAGTTGATGGCCAACACGTACATTCAAGCAGTAAGGACCCTGTGCACATTCTGATTAAAGTCCTAAAACTGTGATGACTTCAGCTTGAATATTTCTCCCAACAGTAGCAACGTGGACAGAGGGACATCAATGGACAGATTTAGCTGTGGGCCTGCTGGTTCAGCATTTACTATTGCTGGTATGCTTCCCTGGTCCGTACCTACCAGAACTTATTTCAAGCCATCTCTCAGATCAAGATGGAAAGAGTGAGTGAGGAGGAGTATGGTGCCTGCTTGAGTGTTGATTTTTTCTATTAATAATATGATAAACATTTCATGTTGTCTTGGTATGATGTCACCAAGTCACTGAGCCTGATCACCCATTCTGTTAAGTTGCCTAGTACGACAAGCATAGGAGCAAGAACCAACCAACTCTGGAACCTACTGGGGATACAACTCTGGCACCAACTGAGTCCCAACTGAGGAGTATGAAAGGGAATCACCATCTGGTTTAATGATGACAAAAAAATGCTTCTCCTATTATAAGGTCACCTTTCCCTCAAGGAGTGATACAATTGATGACTTATTTTTTAAACTGGAAGAAGTTGTGTGACTTACATTATCATGCCTGAAGTGGCAGAGCATCCGAAGTTCTCGGTACACCCGTTTACAGGAGATGAGGTTTTGGAAGACATTAGGCATCTTCTTGAGCGCCACCCGTTTGCCGTCACGAGGGTCTGTCACAGCCCTGAAAACACAAAAAACACACAAGTGATAACAGTCATACAACTAACTACACTGAAGAAGTGCTACAGGTATGGTTGTAACGGTACATTGGTTTGATGTAAATGAAGAGGGACTATGTATCAATACTGACACGTACAAACAAGGCCATCCTATAATATATCCTGAGAAAAGGTGGTGGTGGAATGGGGTTTAACGTCGCGTCCAAGATTATTGCACTTATATAGCGACGTGCATGCACGTGTGTGTGTGGCTGCTTGAACTAGTCCGGACTGATGCCGATTTATAGTGCTAGCACACTGAGATACCATGCCGCAGTTTAACATGAATACCCCACTCAGACACAGTATACTGACTCTGAGCCGACCAGTCCTTGTTTTAGCCCCTTAATGCCGAGCGCCAGACAGGGTAACAACAAGTACCATCTTTTAACGTCTTTTGGTATGACGCGGCCGGGGATCGAACCCCGGACCTTCCACTCTCCGGGCCCTGAGAAAAGGACTGACTGAAGCTACATGTGTAATATCGCCACCGTACTATCCAGATATGTATCAAACTGTAACATGATGTATTGTTGCAGGACTATTGATCATTAACTTATACACCTATGCCCCAAAGCGATCTTGGTGCTGCAACTGTCGTACATCGATGGGACAGTATGGGAGTTTTTATTATCTTAGCGCTAAGATCAATTTGTGGAACTGTGCCCAGATCAGCAAGTTCTACACCACATGACACAACTCTACAGGACAGAATACTTGTACATCACTGAAGATGTATATTTGCCTCCTCTTGTGATGATGGGCAATTTGAAAGTGCCTTTTTGTTATTCATTGCCATTTGTTGATTTTCTGATTAGGAAAACATTATGTGTGAGAGATCAAACTTAAGATTATCTTTACCACTTTATTCATCCAGGGTGTCTTTTATGTGGTATTCACAAGTCTTGAAAAATTCAACACCATTCCAAATATTGACGTATACTTAAAAAAATAAATATTCTATTGTTACACTATTCGAGCATTTCAAAGTTAAAATTTATTTAATCAGAAATACTTGGAAATGGTGAATTTATTCAATGGTATTTCACACATCACTAATTTACATAAAACTATTATTAAACATTACTCCAAGACAAACTGCAGTAAACGAGACCACATATCAACATAAAACTGCTGACATCGACACTTGTCCATACCCTGCATGACAAATGTCATCAACTGAATGGCCCGTCTAGGAACGGGCTTGGCTGGTACTGCAGCAGGAAATCAGGGATATTGTTATTGAGTGGTCACACAAGCATAAAACTATCAACTAAAGACACCAACAACCCGAGGTTAGCCACCCCAGGTGACAAGTTCACAGTCCGCACACACTGACCACCTTTGTCACACGAAGAGGTCACACTAATAAAACTGGTTTCTTGGTCATGTTCAGCTGATTATCAAAGTCCAATGACCCCAACACTCTATCCAGCACAAGTCAAGTTTCTTCCTTTCCACCTAATCAAGTTGGCCCCGTGAAAAACAATGAAATCAATTGAAAATCATGTCAAAAGTCTAGTTTCAACAATACAATTGACATACAATTAGGCCAAAAAGTTCTCAATAGTTAATCATGTTAACAGATACTTCCAGAGAAACCTAATTCAGTAAAAATAATGTGGACAAAGAAATATCCAGAGTGAGTGAGTGATTTGGGTTAATACCAATATCAATAGTATTTCAGTCATCCCTGGCGACATGCTTAGGTCATTATTAGCTGAGTGAACAAGAAACATTAGTGTTACTTGATTGAAACCATTCTGTTAAAGGTACGGGAACAGCCGGCAGGATATTCCTCAACAGTAATACACACCCAGTGACATCTAATACACAGAAATGTAAGTGAGTGAATACGGTTTAATGCCATTTTGAACAGTATATATATATATTGCTGTTTGTCATCTTGATGTGGGAGGAAAGCCGGAAGTCACTTGACCACAAGGATAGTGCCATTAACCTCGAGATATAATCAGAGCTAATCCGGCATTCTGGTTTCTGGCATGCCTAAGGGACACAACTCTGCACCCCCATTTCTGGCGCCTCAGACAAATAGATCACCATGTCGCTGCAAGATCGTAGTGCAAATACTGATTCCGTTACGTCATCTATGTCACGAAAGAGATCACCTATATGGAGCTAATGGAGAAAACCGACAAGACTTAACTGTCATTGGTTCACTTCATGCATATACACATGATTCAGCCTCTGAGTGGGAGACAAGCATCACCAAGCTCCTGGGAACAGGAGGGGTGTACGTTTGGGATCACATGTTAACAACACATACCACTCAACATTTACAAAAGACCAACCTTTTGACTATTTTGGTCTTAACAATTGTTGAGCAGTACACAACTATGATGAATGCATTGTGAGTTATTTTCGTTGGGTAGTCGACCTACTTTTGTTGAAAATATCCACAAGTGTTTGTTGCATGTTAACATTTAGCACATCAGGTCACCCATGAATCAGACTGAAGCAAAAGTGTTTAAGTCTAAAAATGGAAAAGAGGTGCACACCCTGCCCCCACACACCCCTCTCTGGGTGTGTGGGTGAGAGAGCTATGATTTAACTAATGTGACCTGTTACTGAACTACCGCCCTGGCTAGTGTGTATGGCTATAGATTTCTACAACATAATATTTGTTAATAGCACACTCCAAGGTATAACTTCATATCTATACAGTAAGAATCCTTGAAGCATAGTCAACTCAAAAAGTGGCGAGGTCTGGCTGAAAAGCTTCTTTCACAGGCAAGGTCTTGTTGAACAAGCTCTGTCCTGACCTCAGTGACAAAGGGCCCTCTTTATCATGATCACAGAGACTCAATGTTATTGAAAGGGACAAGGAAAGAATTATGCCTTTGATCTGATCCTATCTGAGCTTCAAATGCCATGGAGTTATGAGGTTTATACCACAGTCAGTGTCTATTGTCACATATACACCAGTCGTAACACATGGACAAGCCTGGTGAAATATACGATTACAATAGTGTGAAATGTCAACTATGTTGTTAGATCAGCATCACTTTGGGACCATGCTGTATTGGTCGAAATCCTGCACTTATTTTAAAAGCTCAAGCAATGCGACACTTATGTGTAAGATAAAATATTGATTCTGTTGCTAGACATTCAGAAAAAGGAACTACTGCATCAAATCTGTGTAGTCATCATCCAATCATATGGTGTATAGTGTCTTAAATAATAAAATTACTTAAGTAAAACCAATCACTTTTTCATAATATGTTTAAGAAAACGAAAAAAACCATGAAATGTCTTCTAACATATTGGATCAATATTCATCAGATCGTGTAATAAAATATTTATGGTTCAGGCCGACAAAAACACAAAGGTTCAAATTACACGAAAATTGGGTTTGGTTGGTAGACAAGTTTTATTAACTTGTATTTTGGAAAGGCAATAGATTTTATAAGATCATCAACGAATATTGTCGCGGTTTTCAACTAATAGTTAATTGAGAAATCAATTAACATGTAGAGGCTTTTTAGGGCCTGTTAGCAATTTAATAATCTGAATGTATAGCAACTGATTGTGTGTGTGTGTCTGGTTTATCGCCACTTTTAACACATCTAGTTATATCATGGCGTGTCAGCTTAATATCGGAGTAAAGCCAGAAGTGATGCAGGTCTCAGACATAAATCACTTCGGTGAAACCCACGAGCACGGGTATGGTGCTGACAAACCTAGAAACATAATCGGGGCAAACCGGGATTCGAACCCACAATCATAGGTTTCTGGCGTGACCAAGGGACGCAACTGTGCACAGCGAATCGCGGCGCCTTAGACGACTGGGCCAACCGTGCCCCCAGCAACTAATTGAGCGTCTCACATCCTGACAGTATCGATGGGCACTGGTTCTACACTACAAGATACTGTTGTCCTGAAGACTGGGTGTTGTTGAGGGGAGCGTCTCACACACTGACAGTATCGATGGGCACTGGTTCTACACTACAAGATACTGTTGTCCTGAAGACTGGGTGTTGTTGAGGGGAGCGTCTCACACACTGACAGTATCGATGGGCACTGATTGGACACTACAAAATACTGTTGTCCTGAAGACTGGGTGATGATGAGGGGAGCGTCTCACACCCCAGCTGAAAGGGTCTGGGCAACATCTGGTGTTCATTGCCGCCTCTCAGCATGTCTAAATAGATAGCCATACCTTCTCCCTCCAGCTGGGAAGAAACCAATTTGAAAGGCTGACTGGCTCAAAACCATCAGCTTGGTAATAAATCTGGATGATAAGCAAGAAACACATCCCTTTGGAGGGGGTTGATTGGCCAGCTATATGAACTCTGCCCTGATTTACTGACTGTGTATACACTCCAGTCAAAATGACGGCTCTCCGTTTTTAAAGAGTTATCTGTCATGATAAAGTGACTAATATAGGTTGGCCAAAGACTAAAAAACCTTTTAGCAGTATTTCTGTTAGATCATGGTGTTAGTCTCAAGTGGAAGAAGATCTGTAAGTAATGCAAGCTTTAACATTTTCCACTTTGGTGAAATCCATGTAAGTATGACAAGAGACTATATGTCCAGTATTGAGGTCTATCTGGATCTGAACGAAGCACCAGTGGTTCATGGCTGCTTACAGTGGGGGACAACTCTGTACAAACCCCAAGAACACACAGCACTCGTATCATCGCTCACAAAACAGTGAAAAATATTTCCATTCCAGAATAGGGTAATATTTTATTCATTTCTAGTAAGTAGAACAAGAATGGATCAATTTGCATTATGAAATATTTCAATGCATTCATACAGTATCATGCATATCCCATCAACATCAACAAATATATGCCATGCATATAACATACAGAATTAGTTTCATTTCCAGACAAACTGCTGACAATATTATGCCCTATAAAAAAAACATTTATCCAGCATATCACATCGCGATACCAGGCTGTAGCAGTAATTAACACATCGGCATGTCTAGCTCGGA